GACATGGTCTTTCACCCGTGATCTGTATGGAAAGGGCTAAAGAAAATGGATTTATTGTTGTTAACAAAGATAAGTGGATAGTCAAATCCATATATTTGGCCCACATTATGGTATTTTGTATGGTCTCCCAAAAGTATACACAAGTAACTTCACTTGAATAAGTGAAAAGTGTTATCAACTATTTATTGATAGTAGATTCAATTAAAAAATGCTTAACAGTTTTGTTTTTAAATTTTCCTTTTATATTATGTTGTTGTGGATACATTAATGTCATTGTAAAGTGTAAGTCATTATTCAGCTCATAGAGGTAGTTTGTTTAACGTTTGAACTTAATTTCATGAATTATAAAAAATATATACTTTTATACATGTATGGTCAGCTACTTAAGCAAAGAATTTTTAAAAATTCAATAAGTAATTATTTTAAGTTAACAGTGAATGTTGTAAATTGTCAGTTTTTATACATATGGGCTGGATTATTTACAGTAGGTGTCTCTGACTTGTTGGTGAAAAATTTCAACAATAAACAAATAGCACACAGTCCACTTGTTTTAACAAATATATTAAAACAAGTCCAACGAATATACAAATGTTTTTTACACTGTTGGTTATCACAGTTGTATTCAGAGCTTTAAATAATTATTTTTTTCATCAAAGTCCACACAGGCTGGTTCAGTTACTTTAGAGCACACTTTGACGAGATGAATTATTCTTCCTGCTCTGTTGTTACAATACAATCTGTGAAAATTTCACTTTAAAAATCATCACTATAAGATATTTATGGCCCAATTTATTATCACGCAGTCTAGATCTAACTGTTTAGAATTGCAACTTGAAAACACATTTATAGCCCGACAGAAACCTGGAATGTTCTACACACTATGAGATATTATGATGCAATAATACTCATTTAAAATGAGAAAAATTTTGAAGGTTCTAGTAACATGGTGAAATAATACAACAATTGAAGTACACAATGTATGATTTGTAAACATTTATGTAACAATCTCTTCTAAAAATAACTAAATTTAATGCTTGTTCTATAATTAAATGGAAACAATCATGTATATCTAACATAAATAATATTACATATATATGCAGTAATGTTCAAATTTATTAGAACATCTCAACAACTGCCATTTTATGAGTTTTACACACAAAATAGTCATAGATTGACTTGTAATTACTACAAATTAATCATACAAGAAATTATTACAAAGTTAGTACACAGATACTATCTTTCTTTAATGCTAAAGGCACAAACTAGAATTCTGGATTTTGGAGATGGTGAGCTGGGTTCAGATCTGTGCAACACCACAAAATATTTGTCACACTTTAAGCTGTGAGTGCACTGTAAGAGTGACAGCCAGTTCTTTAGTGTGGATGGTGCTGCTGACTAGCTGCGTTCCCTCTGGCCACAAGTTCAAAATTAAGGATGGTGGAAGATATCCATAGTAGCTTTGCCATAAATAAAGTACTTAAATGATAAAATATAGTGTGACCTAGGGATGAAAAATAAATTTGTATGATACAATGGTTTGAGCCCTCTATTTCCTGATACAACAATTATCATGATAGTTTTTTTTTTTCTCTCATTGGTATATGGAAGCTATTGAGTTACAAAGTAGTGAAGTATCAGATTAAAAATGAATAAAAAAAGCAAGAAATCTCATCATACAAAGAAAAAAACAACAACAAAGAACCCTAGACTATACTGGAATGGAAATGTATTAGTGCATCACACTAGATGCTTTAACCAAGATACAGATTAAGACACTAGATGCTTTAACCAAGATACAGATTAAGATACTAAATGCTTTAACCAAGATACAGATTCATTTTTAGATAGAAGTAATTCTTGAAGCAGTAATTGCAAGGCTCTACTGCAAGTCTAAGAATTTTTCTTGTTGATAATATCCTGTGAAAATTGTGGATATTTTTTAGAAATTTCATGATAGTTTCACAGATAAAGTATCAAATATTATGGAATATTCACAGAATTATTTCATTAGCATACCCCACCTCCGCCTATTTTTTCTATTTCACGATAGTATACATTATATTCTCAAATAGTGGTCTCAATTTTAACTTTTCATTAATAAAATTCTATTAAAATTCAATTTGAAAGTTAATTCTTCTTTGAACTACTGGTGGTTAGGAATGTATTTCCATAAGTAAAGTATAACACAAAATTTCTACTTTATCATGCACCATTAG